AGCATTTATGATGTGTTACAATTTTCTGTCACTTCTAAATTTAAAAAAAAAAAAAAATTGTCTTAGAGCTGTGAACAATTTTGCGTTCCAGAGTGAGCGTGTCTTCAGCACCACCTACATCCCGCGTGCCAACGTCACCCACTGCATTTGGACTCCATTTCTTCATGCAGGTAGTTTGGACCACAAAGCTGACCCCATTTAGCAATGTAGTTTGAGACCATCTAAGAAACTTACTTATTAGGCTTTTTAAATTTTAAATAATCATAGCCAGCTGTCCTAGATCATAGAAAATACACAAGCTTGCCAGACATGCTGATTCTCCTCCTACTATTGCTGAATTGTTACCGTTTTTTTCTGTCTTACTAACACTCATTTCTCATGCTTATTAGCCAAAGCTGTGAACAATCAGAAGAGGCTGAAACTTGTACCATATAACAGCTTAGCAAAATTGAGTTAATAAAATGTAGCAAGGCTCTTAAAAGAGCAAAGAAAGTTCAGCACACAATTTCCCAGTGATTATCACCAGGCATAATGTTCCAATTTTCATCTGAAAAGCTCCCTTGTATGGAGAAAACTTAGGGGTTTGGGTTTGTTTTTTTTTTTTGAAGCAACTGTAAGACTTAGAGTCTGATTTACTGGTTTATTGGGTAGTGCTGGGATTTCCCCACTTCTGTTGTATTCTGGGTCAGCTCATAGCCCTCACTGCCACCTGTAAAAATTATGACAGCGTGTCTGAGCAATGATCTACATAGAGCGTCATCTTGTCTCCACAAATTATCTGAACATCTCAAAAAAGGTGAAAGAATGATCTAATGGACAATTACAGGCTACTCAGCTCCTCAGAGAAATTTCTTGTCTCTCATTAGCCATAGCTTTTCCCTTTTTATTTCTCTTGCCTAATTTAAATTGGAATGATACCATAAATTTAAATATGCAATCCTATAAAAATTCATTAATTCTAATTTGTGCCAATGAATTCTACAGCTTTAGTTATGCATTTTTAAATTTTTCTGTTCTCTTTAAATTTATTTTTAATTGCTCATTGACAAGGTCCTGAGTCATGTACTGTAAAAACAAGCTATCCATCTGTCTGACATCCTGTTTCCTCAGTCATGTTTCTTCATAACTTTTTTAACTCTCATTTTTTAATTAGAAAACTTCCAGTAATTATCACCTGCCTCTTCCTATGCCCATTTTTAGAGAGGGGTACCAGACTTGTAATACTACTTGTAATACTACTGTCCTTTGCTATTCCTTTGGCCCTTTCTTTTCTTTGATTACTGTTGGAAAGTGACCAGCGATACTTGAGGTGCCTTCCTATGTATTTTATACTAATTAAATCAACAGCAGCAATGTCTATGCCACTTGGACAATTTTTTCAGACATGATTTCATCTGTCAGCAGCTGTTCAGTCACAAGCTCCGAGTCTTCTTCCAACCTTCCTGTGGTTGCAGCGTTCAGGCCCTCTCTAAAGTCTATAAAAAAGTTTAATAGTGAAGCCAAGCCCTCCTGCAAGATGTACAGCATCATCCTTTCATCCAACTGACCCCCCTTTCTGCTTTTTAATACTCTTTCATAGTTGTTGAAAATGTCATTTCTAATGACATGCTGGCACAGCTCATCCTGGTGTGTGTTGGCATGAGAGGTGAAGGGGGAAGGTGGGGATGGAGGAAGGGAGGGGGTGGCTGTGAGACCTCCACACTGAAGGGCTAGGAACTTCTGCTGTACAAAACACATCTGAGTTTCACTAGATACTGGAAGAGTATATTTGGCTTAGCCCAGGCTGAGCACTATGCTAATACATCCTGCTTCTTGAGGGTCTTCAGTTCAAATGTGTTCTCTAGTTGGATGAAAATAGTTTTAATGTTTTCCTTTGATGCCTCAAAAGTTACCATTAAGGATAACTATCCTATTCATTAATTCCTCTTGAAGCCTATTTGACGGAAGGAAATTGGTTCTCTTACTACGTGTTGGCAATTATTTTAGCATCAATGTCCAGAACTGGAGCTACCCTGAGAAGGATTTCCCCCGGCTTTGCGTCCTGTGCCGTGTAACAAGCACGTGACAACCTCTGGTTGACTCTTAGTTATCCAGATGGTCCGTCACAGCTCGGTGAGCGTATTGATTAGGAATATACAGTGTCAGCCAGCCAGGGACAGAATATAAATTGGCTAACCTTGGTTTATTGCAGTGTTTTCTTAAAGCAATATATAATTTCTTATATTAGCTATTTACCTTACGTTTGTTTAACAAAATACAGTTCCATTGACTTTAGAAAAACTCTATGCTTTTTCCTTTGAGGAAAGTAAATTATATATTATAATACCATCTCTACATTGTTATGTATTTTAATACATATTATAATACACACACATAAATATAAACTTACATATATATATTAGCATCGTACTCTCCACCTAGCAGTTTAGAAAAGAGCAAAAAGAAAAATCTAAGGCCAAAATCTTATGGCCTCAAGTTGCGCCAGGGGAGGTTCAGGCTGGATATTAGGAAAAATTTTTTCACTGAAAGGGTCATCAGACATTGGAATGGGCTGCCCAGGGAGGTGGTTGAGGCACCATCCCTGGAGGTGTTCAAAAGACAGGTTGATGTAGCGCTGGGAGGTATGGTTTAGTGATGGTGATGCTTCTTGTTTGTTGTGTGGGTGTCTATTTTTGTCAGTTAGGTTGACGGTTGGACAAGGTGATCTTTAAGGTCCCTTCCAACCTAGAAGATTCTGTGATTCTGTGAAAAGGAGACAGCCTGGCTACAGAACTTTTCCAAACCTAAGATCATGCAAACTCACCTAAGCTTGTTAATCTGAGCACCATGAGACTCCAGTTTACAACTTGACATAATATCCAAACGGCCCAATTTCTTTTTTGTATGAGAATTAAAGCTGCTGAACGTTTTCAATAGAATAACATGAAAGTCTCTCTATATATACATATACATATATAGTCTGTAGAGTTTAATTCAAAGGGATGAAATTTGGATTTAAGTGATTAACTCTTGAAGTCATCTTTGAAAATGTCAGCCTCTAGAGAAAATCGTATTTACAATTTTTATAATCTTTGGCATGTTTGCTTTTCCTAAGTAACTGTTACTTCCCTGTTTTCAAATTTTAACTGTAAAAAATATTTATGTGATTAGGTGGAACAAGTCAGAAACAAAAGGTGGAACAAACGTAAAGGGCTGAGCATTGCATTTAGCTCAACTGAGTTTTTTTAACTGAGAGAAACAAGAGAAAATGAAACAAAATTCATTGTCTGTGTGGCAGCTTACACAGCAGCAAAGTTATCTCCTGTCCTTAGAAGATCATACTCTTAATGTACTCTGTTTTGGGGGCCTGATAGAGTTATATTTTGCTTTTTACTTTTTGGGAATTACCTTAAGACAACCAGCAACTCCAGCAGTCTCATGCTTGGCACTCTCCTTTGGCGTATGAACCAGACTACTAATGCACTCACTTAAATAACAAAAAACAAATCACTAACCAACCCACCTCGCCCATTCCCAAACTTAGGAGAAAAGCATCAGATCAGTGCTTTTGCAGCATCTGAATCATTATATTGTTTTCCCGTCTGAGAAAGCAAGCCACCAGTTTACTATCTAAGGAAGATAAAAATGTGCAGGGTTTCCTAAGCTTAGAACTGCTTTATGTATACCATGCCTTTTTTGGGTACATTTGTATGGTTGGAGACACTGGAGGAGATTTCTGTTGACTTCGATAATGACTGGATAAGTCTTCTGAAAGCTTTTTTCTTCTATGCTTTTTAAAAATTGAAATCCTAGGTTTAAAATAATTTGACTGTAGCAGGAACGTCTAAAGAAAGAGCTCGACCATCCACTGCCTGCGTTTAAGTCGTGGAAAAAGCAAAGTTAATGCAGCCCAGCTTGCAAGGAAGAGGGTTGCAGTGACTCAGGATATGCATGATTGCTTATTGAGCTGTGATAACTCGATTAGGAGTCCAAGTACCAAGCTTTTGCCATGAAATTCACCTTCTCACAGGGCTCACTCCCTAGTAAAATCACTTGCAGAAAGAATTAAGTATGGACCCAAACCTGAATTGTTTAACAGCTTGAATATTTGCATTAACAAAACTTCTTCAATAATTTAGGCCTATATAGATCAGGTTTTTAGATTGTATCTGAACTCTGTTTTCTGGAGTAAGGCTGAAAGGAAAAGACTGCAGGTGTTTCCTAAGAATGCTTTACTCAGGTTTGTTGTTCCTGCTGTGTGAGGTGATGGGAGCTCTAGTAGTTTATATGGTGACTTCTATATGGAAAAGCATATAAAAACAGTCAAAGGGAAGAAAGCAAAATTCAAAGAGTTGTTTTTGGTATGTTTTTTTAATTTTTTCTTTTTTTCATTTTACTCTGAGGATGAAAATTGTCCCATATGGCTGAACTACTCGCATCTTCCCCCACTAGAAAGCAGATCCTTGTGGAGTGAAAATTGGCTTCAGAACCTGAAGTATGAAATTGAATTTTTTAAACATATTTCAGATCCTAGGTTTTGCATATCTTTGTAGCAGAAATAGTCGTTTGATTGAATTTTTCATCGGAAAGTAGAGCTTTAGCGCCTCAAAGTCATCCATTGCAAATGACAACTTTCTGCAAAAAAGCCTCACCAGATTCAACAATTCTTATATACAGTTATTACTACTACTAGCCAGTTTTAATCATTTGCCTCTCACTGATGTCTGCATTTTTATTTCTAAAGCCCAATGTAAGCATATAAAAGAATGAAGTGACCTGAAAAGCAAAATGTAAATAATTCCCCCCCAAAATATACAGTTTCAGGGACTATTTTCTTCCCCATAACTCCGAACCACCCAACTATAAAGTCCACAATGACTTGGGTCAACCAGGTGTAGGAATGTACAGTCTTGTACTGGGATATACAAAACCCCAGGGACTTGTGCAGTGAAACTTGCACAGCTGTAGAGATTCAGATTTACCCGGAACAAAATCTGCACCATTTTAGTTTAATTCCAAAGGTTTATTTTGCAATCAATGTGCACAGACATAGTTTAGCACACACACATAACCCACTTGTACAAACACCACCTCGCAGTACCTCACCCCAGTGTCACAGACAGGAAAAGAGAACGTGGAACTACACGACACTCACTGACAAACACACGGGCTGTAGACAATTGGATACATTCAACTAGAAAAACCAAAGGATAAATTGCCGATATTTTCCATTTTTGTCCTCTCATTGCTGGAGAAGCTATAGCAGCATAACAACGGAAAAACACCCATTATGGAACGACTTCAAGAACGCAAAACTCTCGTCAAACACATACACATACAGTTTGGAGACTGGAATCGCTTTGAACCTGTACCATGGGCTGGAGCAAACTGCTGGTGGGATGTGCAACCAGGGTCCCACCTCATACACGGTCTGTAGCAGCTCTCTTTGCAGCCACACAGAGGGTGCCTGTCTCAGGTAGGGCAAGAGATGGGCAAAGAGGGTTGCAGAAGTGGGAAACGTGACTCCCAGCTGTTAAACCTGGACAAACTCCTGAGCTGTGGTAGAAATTTCTATCAAACCATCTCTTTACCAACACGTTCAGAGCTGGGCTCCAAATGCCACTGTCTTGCTGCAGAAGTTCTAATACACCTGCCTTATCAGGCCAACATGATATTTTATTGAAGTTATCCAAAGGCAGCATTGTCATCACGCAATGCCTGTAATGTACATTGATAAACAGCAGCAAGGGCTAAATTCTCCCAGTTCTAATAAAAATAATAAGAGATTCCGCTCCTGACACTTTGGCTCAAATCAGGTCACATCATACCACGTTAGTAGCTCTAACGGCAAGTAAGGTAATTCTCAATTTGAATGACAGGGTCTGAACTTGCCAGTCTGGCCCTGCAGACAGGACAGGAAGAATTTCTTCCTGGCATCCAAACTCATTTTTTAACATAGTCATTCACTTAGCAAGACTCAGGTAACACATGGCAACTAAAGCCACTGAACGATGACACGTCCATTTGTTATATATAGTTTTACAAGTGGTTATTAGAAGGCATCTTTCTTTGGTTTTTCTCTATAGTATCTGATTAACCTCTATATATGATTATCAGTTGGTATAATCCTGATTCACTCTGTTTCCTAACAGTAGCACCAATATAATAAATCTGATTTTTCATTCTTAATTCTCTTACTCATATTCTTACTTCTTGCTGCACCTCTATCCCAGTAAAATAGTATAAATCCTGGCATAAAGGCTCAGATCAAATTTTCTTCCATTACCCAGTAGTAAAATTGCCCTATTAGGTCAGCTTACAATGTGTGCAGTAAATATGCCACATATAAATAAATCACAGTATAAAACCATATATGTCATTTAGTAATAATAGTTAAACATTAGGATCTCTGATTTCAATTTACAGTGTAATTTACAGTGTAGAACAAAACAATAAACAGCTTATCACTCAGCAAAATCTAAAAAAACCCCACATATTGGAAAGGATTTCTCCATTGTATATATATGAAAATACATATTCATATATATTTCTATATTTGGAATATGAGTATGTATATTTTTCCCCCCTCAAATACCCCTAAATTTATGAACTCCTCAATTATTAAATATAACTTGTGCAAGCAGCTGGCTCTACCTGAATGCTTCACTTGCTTCTTGTGCCTTTCTCCTAACTGAGAGCAGCTCTAAGACTTACTGAGTTTTCATATAAAACAGCTAAGTATTTAATTTAAAAGTGCTTATTACCCCCTCAGCATCCAGGTTCCTAGAAGGGTCAAGAAGTACTATTACCAAAATTGCAAACTAGAAAGATGATGTTCATTAAAAGAAATCCCATATGGAAGGGAATGGCTCACCTGACCCCCAACAGCCTGCTCGGTCTCTCTATCACGAAATTAAGCAGACTCTGAGGACAGTTTTACAAAGCATTAAATAGCTTAGAAACTTATTAACATGAACTAGGCCTGGAGCTTCAGAAGCTAATGCCCAAATGAAAATTAGTGTTTAAGTAAGAAAAAAGGCACCCAAATTCCTTTGGAGAGATCTGAGTGTTAAGAAATGACACTTTTTGGATCTCAGGGAAATTTTAGCTCCTAAGACTTGTTTTAAAAGGAACTTGAAAAGAAAAGCCAAAACCCAGTAAAAAAAGTCTCAACCCTTGGAAAACTTGGTGCTTGATTATTTTTTTCAGTGCTACACCCTACATGTACCATCACTTCGCCATGAGGTTTAGTTTTCTTTTTATATTAAAGCCTCTATAGCTATTCTTAAAAAATAGAATTAGAAAAAAATAATATATATATCTCCACAGAAATGCAGTGTTAGCAAACCCAGAAACTAGAGGCAAGTCTATTACTAGTCGATCAGGATTTGCAAGAGAGACAAGAAAACCCATCAGTACCTGGAGCTCCCCATTTTCGAGAAGCTGGAGATGCTGAGACGAAGCAACTGAAAGTGGAAATAGCTGGAAAAGGAATGGGAGGTCGGGGACATGACACGAGCCTTCTTTGAAGTCCTCAGTTCTCACTGGCAACTTTAATGACGTATTGGGAAACGTGGAGAAACGCAAGCTGGTACCATTTCAGGTTTGCTCGCATCGATTCTTAGCAGAGCCCTGCTGGGATCCCTTCCCTGCCACCACCACCTCCTCCTGCCCCGCAGTGACCACACACACACCTCCCTGTGAGCACACCAGGGTGCTCCTCACAACCCCGGCTCTCCACCACCACTTTACTTCTCCAAGTCTATATTCCCCACCACAGCACCGATTTCACAGGTGCCCAAGAAAACTCTGGCTCTTATTTACTTAATCAGCTGCCGCCACTCCTGCCTCTCATTTCCTCAACCATCACCCGAGCTGCTAACGGATTCACCTGTACTCACTGAAAACATATTCAAGGGGGAAGCAGTTCATGCTGTCACATAAAAAAATACAAGTTGTGCATTGCTGTAAATGTACTGGATGAAAAAAAGCACGTTTTCCCCCGTCCCCTGAAAGAGCATCCTGGGTTTACACGATCCCTTTCTTGGTGTCCCCATTGTCCACCGAAGACGTGAAGTTTGATTCTTGTTCTGCACTCGATTTCCTTTCTCCCGAGTAATGGTTCATTTCTTGCATTTCCAGAGACACTTTATTCCTTTTGGCAAATGCCTGGCTGATCTCATGAAATGTCTTATTTTTCGTTTCAGGCAGGACAAAAAACAGGTAGGTGGCTCCGGCAAAGCAGATGGCAGCAAACACTAGGAAGCAGTAGGTCTGTAAACCACTCTGTGAATAGAAAACAGAGGAGATGGTCATTACAAGGGACAAAATTTGGAAGAAATGGTTTGAAATTGAAAAACGGTTGGTATGGAGCAATTTTTAACCAAGTACAGTAAGTGCTGGCAGTCACTGCAAGTCAGAGTGTTCATAAAAATGCATGAATCTCTAGCTCTTCCAGCACTGCCTGTGGCCCATGGATGGAGAAGCAGGTTCCTGGCAGCGGGGCGCAGATCTGCAATCTGGGCGATGCCGGGAGACGAGCGTCTGGGCGAGCTGAGGCAGGGTTGGGTGCGAGGGGAGCAGGTGGCAGCAGGGCTCCTGCTCCACGCACAGCTCCACCGAGCCCTGCTGCCACCAGATTTTTCTGGCAACCAGGCAGATGTTTCACCGGGTTGCCCTGCCGTGCCGCCTCTCCGTTTCTAGGCTGGAAAAGTGAGACGTGCTTTTGCAACGCCGGGCACCTGTAACACAACCCACGAGGAACCTGCCGTGGCCAGGGGCATTGGCAGCACAGGAATTACAAGCTTTGAGATTTCCAAAATAAACAAGGGAAAAACCCCCCAATGACAGACATTTTTATAATTTCTAAGGTTATGGGAGCTTACAGCCAGGAAAAACATCTATAGAACGCATTTCTTTCATGCTAGAAACTAGTGTAAGAATTAACTGAAAACAAAGGACAGACCGTATTTGAATGTTACAGATTTTACTTCACTGCAAAAAAAGGAGTATAGACACAAAGATGTAAATCTATAAACTGATTCTAAAGGCTCCAGTCAACCAGTAGGAGTTGCACTTCACTGAAATGTCCAATATTTCTTGCCTGGTGATTATTAGATCATTTAATACCTTTCAGTTCCATTTCAATAATACAGTTTTGAAAAACATTTGGTAATTACAATATTGGACTCTCAGGGTGCATGCGATTCCTAGGACTACTTTTATGTTTACCTTGCTCAGTATATGTCACATACGGTGTGGAAGAAGAATATGAATGTGTGTGTGAAACAAGAAAAAAAAAAAAAGAAGAAAAAAAAACCCCTTTTCTACAGCTGCTTTTTACTACCGTTGCTTATTGCCAGCCTGCCTAGTCACAATGTTTTCCGTGGATAATTTATTACCAAGTTCAGCCCTTCCACTCCTGTCCATAATAGGAAAAGCTACAAAGTGCATCCTCTGATACTGACTATGGACTGTCAAGATTATAAATTATTTTTTTGTTAAATCCTAGAAGCACGAACTCCTGAGCAACCTGACAATCATGAGTCAATGAGAGCACGGGTGATGGGGAGTGGAAATATTCCAGCACGGAAACAGAAATGACTTTTGAGCTTATACAGAAGCAGAAGCAAATGGATTTAGTAGACAGGAAAAAATAATTTCACAGTGCCTCATAAATCATCCTGTCATGTTAAGAATTCAAATTTTGCATCTGGATCTTCTGCATTTGAAATTGTTGTTCAGCTGAATGGTACAGCTCCAATATGGAGTCATGTTTTTCCCTTGTTGAAATCTTTGTTGAGCCAAATCTTCTCTGTGATGAAAATGAACCATTAATTCCTAGTACAAATACGCCTGTCAATCAGATGCCACAAGTTACCTGTGTCTCTCAGTGGTGTGGCCACAGTTTATCCCACCTTTCTTATTCCCATTTGTTTTCTTTGCTGCCCATGATCTAAATTAGCATTTATTATCTTCTTTGATTCATGTCTCCTTAAACCTTTTCTAATTGAACTGAACTGTCATGAGTGCATACTTTATTTGCAATTATTAAACTTGCTCTCCTTAATTTCTGGAGATCCCTTTAGAAGTAGCCCCCAAGGACCTCTAACTGAAGTTCCACAGAGAATAAGATAAAAATTAAATTTTGTTATACATCCTACAGATGGGATTGAGGGACTTTGCACTCTTGTGTTCAGCAGGATTAGCACAACAGAGCCCTAATTCCCAGACTGGAAGACTGCAGGGCAATAACAAAATGCCCTTCTCTCACCACCTAGTCTTCAGTCATAGTATTTCCTTAAAGCTGGTTATTAATTTACACACACAGGAAAGACAAACACTCATATTCATAAGCCTTTCATAACTCATTCAGATGGCCTGCACATACTTCAGAAAAAGCTGCCACCTTCACCAAGGAGCTTCACCTCCTCCAACACCAGATGGGCTTTTGTCACGGTATGCTCCCCTCTGGCCCCTAACCTAACCTTTATCTCCTGTAACCCTGCCCAAGTGATAACCACCTGTGGTAGTCACAATGGGTGCATCTAGTCATGATGGTGGCATCTGGCTCAGAGTGGTTTTCATAGAATCATAGAATTGCCCAGGCCAGAAGGGACCTCCAAAGGTCATCTAGTCCGACCTCCCCGCAGTCAGCAGGGACACCCCCAACTAGACCAGGTTGCCCAGGGCCTCATCGAGCCTCTCCTTGAATATCTCCAGGGAAGGGGCCTCAACCACCTCCCTGGGCAACCTGTTCCAGTGCTCCACCACCCTCACAGTGAAGAAAGTTTTGGGGAGACAGATAACGACACAAGAGATGAGGGCTAACAAGCAGTGCACCCACCCAACCACAATGCTTGACTAGGGAGGCCCCTCAAGGTTACTTCTCGAGATTCAGAGATTCCTTGCTGCAACTGACCCTCAGTAGGTGACTAATAGCATGCTAAACTTTGACATCTTAGCTAAGCAATAAAAAGGATTGATTGTGCATATGCAATCCCTTAGACATAAACCGAGTTGACCAAGTCTAGGAGTAAGATTGGATCCAGCCACACCTCATTTCCTCTCTAAAAAGGAGAATCAGCAAATTTGTTGCTGCTCCTCTCTACATGTGAAGTGCATCACTCCATCCACGAAGGCTTGCTGGAGCTAGGAAAACATCTCTTTAGCAACACCTGAAGCCAGGCTTTACGTACAAGGTTAGAAACCAAAAAGTTAGAAGGAAGACAGAACGAAGCGCTGCAGCAGTCCCTGCTTTGTAGCTGTTTTCCCCTAACATTTCTTCAGTACACCCTCCTGCAGGAACACCCAAGGTTCAAAGTTGACCAAAGTTTCAGGTGGTTTCCTGAATAATAAAAGCTCTGTCTCTTGATAGGCTCACAGATACTCGTTCCGAGTCAAGGTCATGTACGCAGGCAAAGGTCCTCAAAAGGCCAGCCTTTCCACGGGTTGTGGAAGGTCACCCACCCTCTCAGCTGCACAGGGGAGGGCAAGGGAACAGCAGACACACTTAGTAATTTTCCCAAGGAAAGCACCTGTTCCAGTCAGCAGGCTAATAAAGCCTCTCCAAAGCAGGATTTACACTGGATTTTTCAAGGCTGGTGAGGGTTATTGCTGTAGGGAATATTTAAAAGTTAAGCATAAACTTCTAAACTCATCACCTTCTATTTTCATACCATCTTTCGAAAGAGGCTATTTAAAACACAGCATTTCTGGAAATGTCCTGCCAGCTGAATCTTGAATTACTCATTTTTATCTTCTCTTTTCTGCAGCTGATCAAGGCTCTGTATTTGTCAAAAAAAAGAAAACCAGGAAACTATTCACCGGAGACACACATGTGATTGCCACAAAAAATAATCAAAGTTGAAGGACTCGGGCAATTCCCCCAAATCAGATCCCAGGCGTGGCAGGCAATCAAACCTGGCTTTGAAGATGAGATGTAGCTGCATAAGTGAGTTGTATGAATAAGTAGGTGCAGCCTAGCCACATTTTCTTAAGCAAAGAGGTTAACACACATATTCCTAGCTTGTATAGGGTAGCTATACACATTAGGCAGAATATACAGGCATTTCCTCCACTTCCCTTTAAATAAAATGGTAAAGAATACTTAATTTTTATCATTATGAACTTACTTAAAGTGCCCAAAATCAATAAGCAAAAAAAAATAATTTTTTTTCAGGCTAAAAAGTAAACTGAAACAAATAAAAGACCTGGCATTGAAATGATCAGATTTCTGGTTTTGATTTAAAGAAAATAACAATTTGCCACTTTGAAAGTCTGCTAGCTGAGAACACTCTTTCTGCTTATAGTTTACATGCTGTGAACACTGTAGCCTGGAAAAATATAAATGTAATTGAGTAGAATATCATGATGTGCTATCTAATGATGGCTGCTTACTGACTTAACTCACTCTGTAGCAAAGGTTAAATTCTAAGCAGGACTCTGATACTGGAAACAGGAAAATAGCTATTCTAGGGCAGATACAGCAAAATAAATGAGCAAATGAACAAATTCTGAATCAGATTTGGCAAGCTTAAGAAATTAATGTTTTTAAAACAGAACTTTTGGCTTTTCCCAGCCAGTGCCAAAATGTGATTCCATATTCTCCACCTGCAATGTCACAGCCCCTTTGGCACTGGTAACAGGTGCTTGCATTTGGAAGTTGCCATGAAGATTAGAGACATGAAATGGGGGACAAACCGGATTTTGAAGGGATGAGGTCAAATGATAACGGTTAGATGTCTTACCAGAATGATCAGCAGCAAAACAGTTATTCATGTAGACATTTGACTTAACTTACTTTGCTTCAAATTAATATAACCCACTGAAACAAATGGATGAAAGAGTTTGTGTCCTTTACCCCGTGTCCTTCTTCAGTTTCAGATATAACTTAAGGTTCTGCTGAAGGTGCAGGACAATGAAGAAGGATAGAGCACTAAAATATGAGGTACGAAGCCTATTTCCAAAGTAAAAAATAGAGACATTTTCAGACACGATCCATAATTTCAAGCCCAACCCTCACACATTCACTACCTCCTCATAAAAAAGTTAGCAGATCCTTGTATTTTATACTTGAAGTACGTTGCTTCTAATTAAAAGCATTTTTTATCATATCAAACCTTCTGAGAGCCTACATTTCATTTTCTCATCTTTGAGGGGAACTTTAACCACTACCCTTAATACAGGTACACTATAGTTACTTTAAACATCAGATGTATTTGCAAAACATTAAAATAGCCTGACTGAGGGAATTCATGTATGGGCTTCTGTGCACATCTTTGTTA